GTAAGGGTAGGTCCGAGGTGCCCAACCTCGGACATACGACAGTAATTCTTTTATGACCGAAGTGAAGGATAAATCCAAAGATTCCCGCTCAAGTAGCTGCATGACAACAACGATAAGCATGCCGCACCTGATTCTTTATAATGAGCTGCACAGTAGCTATGACGGGCGTCCTTGCATCTGAATATCTCTTAAATTTTCGGTCCCGAAATAACCGTTTGGCTACACGTCAGGCTCCGACTATCTTGCTTGGCATGCCATGTGGGTTCCTCACTGGAGCCTATAAATACCCCCCAGGGGCCACATCAAAAAGGTAATTGAAACCAACCCTAAGCTCATTTTATCTCCGCTCCAAAGGTAGCCCCGATTATTGCTGACTTAAGCATCGGAGTGTCTACCCCGAGGACCCACCTCAGGGCTTTACAAGTCGATCTGAAGTGCAGACGTGGACTGAAGAAGGACATCTGGTTTGGTGCAATTACAGATACAGAGAACTATCGTGAGCATTGTGGTTTTATGAACATGGAATCCTCTAGATGGGTATATAAAGTCGTTGTTTCATAAGAGTAGTGACTAGAATTTATATATAAATGCATGTTTTTATTAAAAAGATTCTTATGATTTATTTCTTTTTTACAAATGATTATGTAGGTAAATTAGCAACATCCTCGAGCTTGCAATGAGATTCACCATTTCACATTCAAAATATGATAACAAGCATTGTAAATTGAAAAATTATTTTTTAATTAGTTTATTTGATTTGAAGTAGTCAAAATATGATTAATATCTTTGAGGCATTTTTATAAATGTACTCTATGGATGGACAAACAAACTAAAACCCCGTGCATATAAATTAATAATACATGTCATTAAATATATTGCAAGTATGAGGTTACTGCATACATCATGAGAAATTTGTCAAAATTAAAATTTTCTCTAAAAAATGAAAATTTTCTCTAAGAAATGGCTTCTCATTCCCATTTAAAGCAAATCACATAAGAAACTACCTTATTATCTACGATATTTATAACAAAAAATTCAAGCCAGTAAATGCATCAATAGAACAAGAGGCATTTCATTGCAGTAAGGTTGCTTACAAAAAAACGCAGACTCTAGAAATCCCGGACCATGGCGTAATGCAACCTAATGAACAATTTTTCCATAATTCCACGATATTTGTATTTGAATAAATTGAA